ATTTACCATCTCTCTCTCTCTCTCTCTCTCTCTGTGTGTGGGGGGGGCGGGGGGGGGGTTGTAGGGATTAGACCTGGTGAAAAAAAAAAAAAAGAACTTTTTAAAAAACTTCCAAAAGGTGTATTCACTGTTCAGATTGTGGGCAATTTTGCAGGCTTTTGCAGCATCATGGGAGGGGTATTGCTGTCTCTTTTTATTTTGGTTATTAACTTATTATTTTAAATTTTAAAATTTTCATATTTCACTTCTTTTTTCGAAACTTCGACCGCTTCTCACTTTGTTCTTGCCATCCCTATATAATATATATGTATGGTATGGATCATCCTAATCTTCTCCAGATCATTCCAATGTGAACAGCCGTCGAGGAGGGCATTCGAGCTCTCTTCCTGCTCCTTAAACGTTGACGAAGGAGGACGTGCACACGTGGCTGTGGCCTCGAAGACATCATAACTATAAAAACAAAAAACAAAAAAAAAACAATTGACACGGTGGCTAGCACTGAGAAGAGGTGAGTACAAGTATTTCAGGGGGAAAAAAAAATACACATAAGATCCTGGACCACAAGCAATTCAAATCTAATCTGCAGTGACTTCGTATGAGATCACACTGACGACGCACTCACACTGACGAGCACTATCTTCAAATCTAATGAGCAGTGACTGCCACAATTCTCAGCTGGTAGAATAATTACGTCAATGGGAATAACAATCTTTGCACATAAAACAACAGTTGTTACAATGAAGGTTGGCAGGTGTACCTACCGGATAGAGGGAAATGGACAAGCTTCAAGCTTGCTCATTTTTCCAGCATGCACTTCGAAATTCACCAGCTTGCTCCATTTGAGGTGGCAACCAGTCTGAGACATCTTCTCAGAGATGCAGGCGAGGACCCCAATAGCCACTTCAAAATTCAAATGGTCCTGGATCTCTCTCTCTCTCTCTCTCTCTCTCTCTCTCTCTCTCTCTCTCTCACACACACACACACACACACACACACACACACACACACACACACACACACACAGTGTTTACAACGTTTCTCTTCGGCAAGTAATTTCTCCGTGTTGTCCACTTTGTGGGGCCTCCGGCATTTTGCTGCGAGGGGCTTTTGTGTCTCAGTGAGCACCTTCAAGATGTGCCAAAGAGTCAGTGTGCCTGTTTGTATGGCGTGCCCACAAAACTGTTCGGGGAGCTACTCCACACACAAAAAAAAAAACACAGAAAAAAACTTGACTGTGCCCGACTGTTTCGTCAAACTTTCACCAGCCCATCATCAGGATGCCTGTGTCTGTGTGTTCCTTGGCGATGACAGACTTTCACCAAACCGAATCCCCGGCTCCGATTGTGATGTGAAGATGTGAACCTATGGGCTTTGTGCTGTGCTTCCCTGATCCTTTCTTTTTGTGGTGTGAGTATGATGCTCTGCTCTGGTGTGTGTTGGATGTGTAGACTCTGAAATTTTTGCTACTCTATGTTTTTGACTGGCTGCCCATCTGCCCATCTCTAGGTTGGGGTATGTCGTCAAGCACCCCTAAAAGGCATGGGTATGGCGAAATGCCCCTACGACAGTTGTGAAACTTCGAGAAATACCCCACTCGCCAATTGAATACCTGGCATCTTTTGCATATACCCCTACCGGGCCCTGGGCAATGTGTCTATGTGCCCCGGCATATCTGGCCGTTGAGGACGAAGAAGAGATGGAGAAAGAAATGCACGAGGCCCTGCAGCCCAGGGCCGGGGCATATGGCAAAGTTGCCAATGAGCGGAACGGGGGCAGATGCACAAGTTCCGGGCATTTCAGCATACCCCTGTGTTTTAGGGGTACCTGATAAAATACCCCAAACTTTTAGGGGTATTTCTGATTTCAGCAATTTTCCCTGTTTTTTCGAAAGTGACTGCCATCCTGAAGAAGAAGACGACAACAAAGAAGAAGAATGGAACGATCCCCCCCCACACAAAAAAAAAGGAACGTAGTTTAGAAACTGAAAAAGCTAGGCTACCAGCCGGGCCGCCCGGGTCCCGGGTGGCCAGCCTGTGCAAGGACAAGGGAAGGGCCCAGGAAAAAAAAAGGTCCAAAAAATCCGAAAAAAAACACTATGTTATGCAGAAAAATAAACTGAACAACTTTTGCCTCAGGGTCACATCGAACTTCCCTACCAAATTTTAAATATAATTATATAATTTTTTTATTTTTTATTTCTTTTTAGTTTTTATTACTTTTTAATTTGTTTTGGCCCGGCCCGGGCCACTCTGGTAGCCTAGTGAAAAGGTCTATAAAAAAAAAGAGAGAAACAGCACAGGAGAGAAGTTGGCGAGGAAGAGGAATGAGTTCAGTCTCTGATGCCACCCAAAAAAAAAAAAAAAAAAAAAAAAAAAAAAAAAAAGGGCTACCTGGCGGTCGATCTGCTTACCTGATGTTGCCTTACGGGTTGCCCGCCTGCCTTGCATTGCCTTGCTGCCCTACTGCTTGCACTTGCCTTTGATGCTGGCCTGCCCACTTGCCTCAATTGCCTCGCCAGTCATGCTGCGCGCTCACACACTCGCATCTGGATGTTTCTTTCTCGTCGCCTCAGCTGCCGCCTTCTTGCCCGCTGGTTAATTGTTATTTAACTGCTGCCAACTGCCCAGCCGCCCCGCTCGACCGCCCATCTGCTTGCCTTGTGTCGCCTTGCTGCTCGGTCGCCGAGTGTTTATGTTGCCTTGGCACCCTCCGCATAAGTTCGCCGCGTCCCTGTCTCGGTCCCTCCCTTGCCTAGAAGCTCGTCGGTCTATTTGCTGCCTGGCTTAGCTGGCTACCTGTCCTGTCCCGTGCTTCGCTGCCGCGTGCTTTGCTGCCCGCTCGCCCATCCATCAGGGTGGCCTACTCCCGCCAATCGTCGGACCTTTCACCGATCTCTTGTGCACAAGTTCTTACTAACTGTTCTGATGTATCAGATATGGACTAGATACGGACTAGATAAGGTGACGCCTCCGGGACATCCGTTAAAAGTGGATTGAGATAGAGAAAATAAGCATGGCCCTTTGCGCAAGGATGCAAATCATGACACGCACAAATCGAGAAATGGTTGAAATTTTCTTCTTCTTTTATAAAACGTCAACCATTCAAGAAAAAGAAAAAAAGAAAGATAAGATAAGGCGAACGACATACAGCAACAACTCCCCGACTGGCTGGCTTAGGCTCTATCAGTCTATGAACTGTGTTTTAATATTGAAGAACAAAAACATCAAAAAAGTGAGAAATAGGGTGTGAAGGGCCCTGCCATATCCACAATAATGCATAGAGTGGATGCCTTAGCACTGAGAATTCCACCCCCCCCTAGCTGCTTGGCCTCCCACATCTTTTACAGCCCTCCTGCCCTTTGGTTTATTGTTGCCCCTCTACCTGCATGCCCATCCGCTTGCTTTGTCACGCCTTGCTGATTACCCGCTTACTTCCTCCCTACCTTGCTGATTACTTCCCGACTGCCCTGCCTCTGCCCTGCCCTGCCTCTGCTGTACCCGACTGCCCTGCCTCTGGCCTGCCCTGCCTCTGCTGTGCTGCTGCCTGCTTTGCATTACTGCGGGTGTTGTTGCCGATTACCTGCTTACTTCCGTGCTACCGTGCAGTACCCAACTGCAACCCTGTCCGCTCGGAACAGGGGGTTGAAGTGGACTATGTCGCAGCGCATCTGTATGTCGGCATGGGGTTTCTGCGGACTGTCGAGGGTTCAGTCAGCCCCCCGATGTCTCAGTTGGCGTCTGACGAAACAGTCTGTGATTAACCCGTTGTGTGCCTTCGGCAGACTGTTGGACGAATAATACATACCCTTCGATACGTATACATGGTGGGATCTGGATCACGTGTTTGATGGTGCAGTAGGCTTGGAAGCTTTGGAGTGGAGCTTTCCGAGTTCGTTGGTTTCGAGTCCAAAAAAGGTAATCATTTCAGGAACTTCTTGTCTTAAAGTTTGCTCTATCACTCTTTTTCCTGCAAATGCAATATATGCTTTGGGTTCAGCTATGATAATGTCTCCTAACATACCAAAACTAGCAGTTACACCACCTGTTGTTGGATAAGTCAGTATTGAAATATATAACAAATTATATTGAATTTGATGAACCTGAAGTACAGAAGCAATCTGTTGAGGGCTGTGCGGGGATAATCAGCGTTGGCTGGTTTTCACGATGAGCGACGGCTAGGAGAACATCACGCGATGGAGCATGTCCTCCATGGATCATATACACACATCATCACACACACTCACACAGACAATAAGCAGGCATGTGCACATGCAGGCGCACACACACACAGTCATATTTGACTTCTTATTATTCTTTTCGTTTACTTTTTCTCACTTTTCTTGCTCCAACCAATGCTTTTAAGCGAGACATCGAAGGATGTCCTGATGCTCCTAAACACACGCTCAAAGACACACACACACACACACACACACACACACACACACATACGCAGAAACACACATGCTTCCACGCACAAAGACAGACACACATATGCAGCTGCTCACTGTACACGCAGCACACACACACACACAGAGAGAGAGAGAGAGAGAGAGAGAGAGAGAGAGAGAGAGAGAGAGAGANGAGAGAGAGAGAGAGAGAGAGAGAGAGAGAGAGAGAGAGAGAGAGAGAGAGAGAGAGAGAGCTGAACTTGCCATAACCTGACCACAGAAGAAGACCATCTCAACAATGTGTGTGAATGACTTCCTTGATATGGAACAACAGAACATTTGACTGACTCCTGCACTTAGGTTTCCAGTTGACGCGCATTACAACCCACATGCTCAATGATGAGAGGCCAGAGATTGCAGCGTGGCATCTTACAAACACAAAACCTGCCATGCCATCGTAAACAGTCCGTCAAATTATGGTGGAAAAAATCTATGCTGGGCTGGAACCAGGCTAGCTATGTATCGAGTCTATTGGCGTGAACCTGCTGTGAATTCGGACCAAATTCATCAAACATGTCATAAACTATATCCTTGTGGGTCCCAGCCCTTCTTCATGTTCACAAAGTAATACAAACACATATCCTGGTGGGGACCACTCACCAGTTCTCCTGACCCCATTCTCTTCTTCGGGCTTGTCAAGAGAACAGAGAACCCACGTCCTGGTGGGGACCATCAGTTCTCCTGACCCCATTCTCTTCTCCACTCGCCATTGCCACCATTTCATGACACCCTGTGTGCGAAGCTCCCCCGCTCCCTCTTCAAGAAGTGGAACAAAGTTCTTCCAACTGGGGGCCATCAAATCGGACAAGACGTCAGACTGCATCCTGCCGAGTTTGTCAAGAGAGCAGAGAGCACCCGCGACCAACCTTCTCCACTCACCGTTGCCGCGGATTTATCACATCCCGTGAGCAAAGCTGCCCTGCTCCCTCTTCAAAGCTGCTTTCAGTTTCTGAAGGAGTGTCGATGCGAGATTTCACCGTTGCCACCAATCTATCACATCCCGTGAGCAAAACAGAGTTCTTTCAGCTGGCGGCTGTCGAATCCGACAAGCAAGCCATCAGACTGCATCGTGAAAACTGCCATCCACACTCATTCAGAAACTCAGGGAAGGTTCACACACCTATACTTTCTTGAACGAATCCGACTACAAAACGATGACCATATTCAGTCCACAAAGTTCCGGTACTCACGCTCTAAGACATGACAGGTTTGGAACAAAATTTCACCGAGGAGTAGCCGTCTCCTCAGCCTTAGGTTCCCAGCTTGCCTCGACTAATCGTCAATCTGAAACGCAACCTGCGCTCTGTCTGATGACTCTGATGAGTCTGATCCTACAGTCTGCAACTCAATGCCAAAGAACCTCCGGTCTTAGAATCACAGAAATTGCCAGGCCCATAAGGACCTATTTCCCGGGGGGGGGGGGGGGGGGGGGGGGAAGGGAAAACAAAAAGAATCATAGGAATTTGTTGCTAAACGCCAAGAGTACAAGATGTAAACGAGTCATCAAGCACGCCTTGCCACACCACTCCCGGATCCCGAAAATTTTTCGGGTGTGCTCTCATCATTGAGAACTAGGGAAATCCCGTCCGAGAGCGTGCTTCGCCGAAACTGGGCTCTCGAAACGGGCGCTCCCAACAACCAAGCTTGGGGTGGGCGAACGGGACGATGAATCCCTCATGAATCACTCGTGTCCTGTGTGAATGCGGGTCGACATTTTCAGGAGCGTTCGGGGTTCGGGCCAGTTCGAGTGCACAGCCCGAGGTCTCCCGAAACTGCCCTCTTGCAGGCGGGAGGTTTCGGGAGCATTCAGGAGTGCTCTCTAGCCATGAGACCTGACAGCTCCCGAATTCGGTCTGACACAAGTCAAATTCGGGTGCTCCCGAAACTCAACGATTTCGGGAACGGTGTGGCGAGGCCCCAAACGAGTTATAACTTATAAGTCTGAACTGCCCGAAGTTACCGCAGTAACCACACCTTTTCTTCTACGGATCCGATGAGGGGCGGTTTGTGCCTCTGGGTTCCCTAGCAATCTTTGAACCTTCGATCTACAAGACGGATACAAAAGTCGGGAACAAAATTTCGCCGAGGAGCAATCTCTGATCCCCCTCAGCCTGAGGTTCCCGACTTGCCCCAGTTGTTTGGTTTCCCATCGCTGACCAGATACGTACGAAGCTCCGTTGCTGTAATAATCCTCCTCCTACCTGCAACAACTGAATACGAAAGAAAATCTTCGTTTCGAGAATCGAAGAAATCGACTAACGGAGATGCGGAAGTTGTTATTCGAAACATCCTCTGGGCTCTAACTCAAGTTCTAACGCGCTCGTGACCAAAACACAATCATGCAATCTGATCGCAACTAAAACCGAACATCAACGAATCTTCGGTTTCAGACTCAAAGCAAGCAATCACCACACAACTTATTACATTACGGTATCCATTACCGAAAGAGGTGCACCGCATCTGGTCCAGAATTCATTCCGAACGGGGTGACAAAATCCATCACGGAACGCCAAATCCGCAATCTATTTCTCCGAAAAACAGGGGTTATGAAACCAGATAAACAAAGTAACAAAAACAAAATCCATCATCACTGCCATTGCATGATCGACAAGGTGATCGGTTACCGAAAGCGGGTGACCAATCGAATCCGTCATGGACCGCACATAGGACTTGAAAGTTGAAATCATAATCCATCTCTCACTGGAAGCCCATGTAAGATTGCACGCATGGACCCGAACTTCCCGAAGCGATTTCCTTTTCTTTTTCCCTGGGTTGTTCAGGAGCCATGCTAATCTTCTCTGTACGGTTCCAATGTTAACGGATGTCCCGAAGTGAAATCGATTTAACCTTTAACCCATCAGTTGCCAGCAAACGGGTTTATGGACCATGCCCCCGAAATGTGCTCCCCCCCCCC